CAAAAAAACCGATAATTTTAACGAAAAACAGAACAGGGGCAGAAAATCCTCAAGGAGTTATCACCAATATCTTCTCATTCTTTGTTTTTTCTAAATTTCTGGAAAACGATGGATCAGATGAACTTGACAAAACATACCATCTTTAATGACTAATTGTTTAATGACTAATTGTTTAATGACTCATAATTTCGAGTTAACTGAAAGATTGATAAAACTCTTCGAATTAAATACGAATAACAAAACTTGAAAACGGTCAATATTTCCACACAATTGTTATCATTGTTTCTCAAAAATTTGTAAACAAATTGAAAAATTACAAGATATCAGCAACAACTCCTTTAAACACCGACGCACAAAGTACGACGTCATTTGAGAACGTGAGATTTGAATTGACGACGAATCTTTTACTGGTGAAAAATAATAATAAAAGAAATAAGATGTACCGAGGATGTGCGCCCAGCTGTTGTTACGGTGATAGCCAGAGGCTCAGGGCACCACTCTTTGCTCCAAACAGTGAACACACACCATTGTAAAAAAAAAAAAAGAAGGGAAAAACATCCGTCCTGTTGTCTGTCCCTGTCTTTCACACTACCGTCACGACCCCACCCATATCACCTCATGTATACAATCGAAATCTCTCTCTCTTGCTCTCTCTACTTCCATTTAAATCCCCTAACCCCTAGCACTTTGACGTTACCTCGTGCGTCACCGTTTCCGTTAAATAAATAATTAGAAAAAAAAAAAAATTCATCAACAACTTCCACCCTTTATCCTCTCCAACAGAATCACGACTCGAAAATACTCAATTTGTTCACTAACATTGCCATGAGACATAAATAAAGACTCCATGTGACTAGTTCCATACCAATAGATAAATAACATTAATAACGACACGCATTTTATTCTACCTTTCTTTCACATAATCTTTTTAAAAATTTTCAGTAAAAAATTTCAAGTCGCATTAAAATGACGATAGATAACAATTTTAAAGAAACTGATGTCTCGTGTTTTTACAGTACCTCACAGTGAACAACTGTTCATTCCCAAATCCATTTCTCAGTTTGTCGATTCTTGGCGTCTCCTTGAATCCCCAACTCTCACTCCTCCTCTCTCCCTCTTAGCAAATAATTATTTCACGTTATCGTTGTTAATAATATTCATGGGTGTATGCCATGGATGAAAATAAAAATGAAAATAAATAAAAAATTAGGGCTCACTTGTGCATACCTTGTGACGAAAAAATAAAGGAGAGAAAGAAGGAGAGATTGTACCACAGCGCTGCTACAAGTGTACGGATATGAGCAGCACTTTTCCAAGTAAATTCAACACTCAATGCACGAGGCCAAGAGCTACCTCCAGCCAATCACAATTCAGAGTCGATACGATCGTTATAAATAACATCGATTTCACCCTTGCTAATAGCTTTTTTAAACAAATTATCATCCATCCCGGGTATTATTCAAATATTTAAACATATTTGGTGGACTTGTTTCATCAAAATAATACGGATTTTGGTGGGAATTGGGGGATTTTTGGGAAAAACCGAAGTTAACCGATGTTGACCGAGGTGATCATGTCGTCTGAGTGGCCGGACGAGGTCATGCGGCGAAATATCTCAGCTCTGATTGGCTGTACCCTCTCTATTGGAAAATAAATGGAGATGAGAGACAATGTAATCCCCCCCAGGTTGTTAGGCATCATCGCCACAAAGAGGAAAGCCACAGTGTTGGAGAGACGGTTCTTAGCCTAGGCACGACATTAAAATAATCGATTTTTTTTTTCTTGTGTGTATATGGGGTCAGCGAGTCGGTAACTTGTGTACACTCGTTCATTATTATTTTGGTACAAAGAAGTTGATTTTCTTTTATTCATTTCTGAGTAAGAGATGTCCTTTGGAGCCCATTAGTACAACCATTCAAGTGTGTGGTACGTTCTGTGCGTGTGTGAATTACACTCCAAAATATTGTTAACAAAAAAGAAGAATAGAGGAGGAATTGGAAAAATAGTCATTCAGTTACCCGTGAAATTTTATTTTTGAAAATACAAATAACGGACAAATCATTGGAGATCAGAGTCGTGTGACCTCTGGGTTCTTTTTGTTAAATTTCTCCCGGAAATAAAAATACAAACAAAGCAACCCACGCGGCGGCCATCTTGTGTTGCTTCCAGCTGGGGTACTTGCACGCGAGTTCATTATCTGTTTGAAAACATTGTGAGTTGGATAGTATCAACGGACAAGGAGTACGAACATTTTGGAAAAAAGTGAGAAATTGATCAATCGGATGTTGCAATTTTCACAAAGTATTCGGACACTAGGCGTTTGGATATCTCATTGGAATCCTAAAATTGGGACACGGTAGCATCGTTAACGATCAAATCTCTCTTTTTTATTCACCTCTTTATCCATATTTTATATACAAAGAAGTTATAAAATCTTCCCCCCACTCATTGGAATGTGTACACTTGGAACTTTTATCAATTCTGTGTGGTGTTTATTCGTGTGACGAGTACCTGGCAATATATTGCGCAGTTAGCCAAAACGACATACATTGGAAACCGGAAGTTGGAGTAATACGAGGATACGCTGTTATTTTTATTTTTTGAGATTTGTTTTCTTTCATTGTCGAATGAGAGTTTATCAACGTCTTGAGAGGCATCCACGCTTGGACTCTGAAGGTAATTTTTAGTCGATATTTTGAGAAATTTAATTTATAGGAGGAAATGAGTTTAACGATGTATTGTTAGGTTTTCATAAGACTCTCGGAAGAAATAGATCAGAGAAAAAATAGACCAATGTTAATTTTCCTATGGTCTATTAAGCTGAGTGGGTTTTGACGCGTTCTGGATGTGTGACCTATTTTTTCCTGGTCTATTTCTTCTGCCTAGCGTTTCATAATTGTTCACGATTTTGGCAGGTTTTTCAGTCTTCATTTTCGGCCTTTGTCCTTATTTAATCACTCATTAACTTTTATAGACGTACGATTATTTTATTTTTATTTAGTAATTTCAATTGTTGAAAAATTGGGACAAAGCAGAAATTATTTTGACGGTTATGAGACTGAGAAATACATCTTTACAATTAATACTGAGTAATTCCGTTTTGTACCAGTGTTTTTTTCTTCTCCGGCGCTGGCCTTACTATCGATATAAATCGTGTTTATTTATTATGATTTGAAGCGATCGGTATCAAGGAGTGATCGCAATGAAATTTGAACCCGGAAAAATCAAAGAATGAGTCGGCGAGGAGTGGGATATTGTAAAAATTGAGTCAATTAAAAACAATTTCTATATTGCTGAATGGGTTTAGGAGGCAGTTGCCAAATTTCAGAAACTTCAGGAGCAGAATCGCAATAAAAATTAAATTTAAACACATGTTTCATTCAATAATTTTATTGGATTATCGATAATTCCAGTATTTTTTCACATTTTCGATTGGTCGATAATAGTTTATATTCAAATAACGTAAAAATCTGGAAATAGTGATCTAATCACCTGTATTTTATAAATATCCGTCTCCTCGTTGATTCATGTTGAAATATTCAAATTAAGACGACCTGGCTTGAACTACAAATTGTCATAATTTGTAATGCTAATAAAATTTTCTGTTTATCTTCTGGGACGGCTTACCAAGGTCGCCACTAAACATCTTCTAGATGATCATGTAGTTTCAAAAGTAAACAGCTTCCATTCCATAAAAACAATACTTCAATAATATTGAATAATCATTTTTAAACCTTTTTTTATTAACAATGTTGCTGTCTGTATGATAAATAAGTAGAATAAAATGAGAAAATGATTAATTAATGCAAAGAGAAATTCTTTAAGGACCGGTTCGATTATCTGGAAAAGATAATTTACTCCAAAATTGGGATTCCTAATTACTCTGGCAATTAATCGTTTTTTTCAATAATTGTTAGCTAGCGTTCTAGCGGTTGTCAACGACTAGAACGCTAGCTAACAATTATCGAAAAAAAACAATTAATTGGCGGAGTAATTAGGAATCCTAATTTTGGAGTAAATTATCTTTCCGAAATACTCCATCCGGCCCTTAATGAAGTGCAATAAAATCTCCGACTCAAGAATATCTCTTCTTCACCATTGAAAATTAATGAATTATTTGATGAATAATTTGCAGAAGCTGATTAACAGAACTGAACGATAAGAAATAAAAAAGAAAAAAAATATATCAAATCATGACGAATTCAGCGCCGAAGATGAGCAACAGCGTTGCGAGGCAGGGCTCACCAAACACTGGTGGCAAACGTAATGGTGGGGGAACAATAAAATCATCGAGTTATTTCAACAGTAGCAGTAAACAGGTAAAGAATGCACATAACGGTCGGCAAAGTTGTAGTCCACAAATTTCACCAAAATATTGTGGTAACTCGCCAATGAGACACGAGAGTCCACGTCATGGTAGTCCAACGAATACGTATTTTGCTGGTGCTAAATGGTCCGAGCCACCCTCCCCAGCTAGCCTACCAAAACCACCAAGTCACTGGACAACGAGACTCATGACCAGTTGTCAAGCTGAGGCATGTCACAACATCTCAAATCATCTAAAGATCATCCTCAATACCCAGGCTTGATATTCAAGCATTAATACCGCTTGAAGATACATTTTTTTTCATCGAGAAAATACGAACGAACAAATAATGATTTTGGTGGCCAGGTATTGGGATTTATTAATTAGCACCACGAGCCTTCCATTAATTGGACTGGGGGCATTCTATTGTCCAAACTTGTGACTTTCATCAGCAAATTATATATATATGTATATATATATATATAATACAATAACAATCTATATATATATATATAACTATAACAATATATGTGTATATTTTCTTCTTGTTCGTGGAAGGAGAATTGAAAATGCGGTATTACGAGATACGAATTATGAACGTTAGAAATCTCTCTAATGTTTCTCTTGTGCGCGAGAACATTGATAAAGTGCGGGGAACATTGAATAAACTTTGTGAATAATATGTTTGGAGTAGAGTTCATGATGAAATGCTGGATTTATATGATGATTTCAACTGGTGTTGAAGAAGCCTGGCGTTTAAATCAAGATTCGATATGTCGAACATTTATCGATTAATATTATGTCATGTACAAAGTTGTAAACATATGTATTTAGAATATTCTTATTATTCATTAACTGTAAAATGGAGCACTCATACACGATGGTACGCAGGTATTCTATTGATATATAGATTCATCTTTCATCGATGCATATTCAGAGATTTGGAAATCGAAATTTTGAAATTATTGTCATGTTTTTCATATTCTCATATATATATTTTTTTTCACTCTGATTAATATTTTGACGGTTCCATATGATAGAAAATATTTTAATTACTCAGCAGAACGCTCCATTTCGATAAAACAATACCAGTAAAATTTTTGTTTAATTATAATTATTTTGTTTTATAAGTTTACTTTTACTCAGTGGATTATTCGTGATGTTAGAAATTACTTTTTCGGATATAAAAGTTATTTGGAGTTAGAGAACAACGTGAAGAGTACCCTGTGACGTAGATTAGAGATTTGAGGAGGGAAATGACATGAGTTAAAACTCAGTACCAGACTATTAGTATTCGATAAAACGCTTTTTTCATTTACAATTGACCGAATTTCAGGGAACAGAATAGCCAACGGATATCATTATGAATATGCAAATAATTTCCGAATACTTGAGTTGAAATTTGAAAATTCATTCAACGAAATTAGCAAAACTATTTGTCAGGGAATGCTTGACTAGATGATGCCCAACAAATTAAAGTTTATATTATTTTTTTTCCTAAATATTAAGTCAGGTTAAGGACGGTTATGCCAACGTGCAAGGAAAGTCCTTCCTTTCATTTGTTACACGTATTATTTACCTCCGTTTAGATCGTTCATAAATATATTCCTAATTAATACCATAACAATATCTTCAACCAATCAGAATTCCGAATTAATTCAACATCAATTGATCAATCAATAATTTTTGCAGTTCTTTTTTTCGAGCTTTTTGTTTCATTCAATTCCCAAATTCCGTATTTTTCGCTCATTGTATCATAGTAAATTGAATTCATTCAAAACGGATGATAAACTTCTAATCAAGTAAATAATTATTTCTCGATATAATTCGGTTCGAATACTTCAGTTCAATATTGATACAAAAATCGGTTGCAGAAGTGAGATCAATGTTTTGATTAACATTCATTGAATAAAATTTTTGTTGAGGAAAATAGATAATTACAGACTTCTGGAGCATTGAACCGAATAGTTGCAATGTAAAAAGTGAAGAATCTTTAGTCCACGAAAGACTGATTTCGCTAAGACGTTTGTGTAGTTGTTGCCGCGTATTATTAGCAACAAAATAATTATCATGACGAATTTATAATCGCCGCGGGCTCGGCGGCGTACGGCAAAAAGCAGATAAAGTTGAACATAATCGGTGATTCAACAATAAAAAGTCATTAATTTGGAAAAGTCCATGTGTTGCCACAGTACGTGTGACATTCTTTCGTTGTAATTTTCCTTCTATTCCCCCGGTTGAGCCAAAATTTACACCAGTGAAGGATGGAACGGAGGAAATAGCAAGTTAATGAAAGAAATCAATACACATGCACGAAAGATTACAAAGTACTTGTGTAAATAATTCGACATAAATCATAATATTAATTCCTAATGAATATTTTGTATATAAATTTATACAATGTGTAAATTATGGGGAAGAAATAATTGTGACTGTCTTGAGTGCTCACGAAAGTAAAAAAAAAATTTAATCCGGAATATTAGAAGATAGTTGGATAAATATCAAATGAATGAAACGTAATCGTGTGCACAAACGAGCAAAACGTCTTTGCAATAATGGGATTGGAGTCTAGAAAGTACGAAAAATATGGTTAATAAATATCCGAGTGGATCACTTGGATCAATGCAATTTTTTTTTTCTGAGGGATAATAAGAAAATTCAATTAGCTGTGATGAAATGATTATAGGTACTACTAATTTTAATTGATTGCCAATTGGATATTACTATACGTACTGTCCCTTCGCCAACTGAATATTACTTGTGTATATGATTATTTTACGAAAACAAAAAGAAAATTAAACGAATGGCGTAGGAAAAGTTAAAAATCATAAGTCGAGTAATTAGGTGTATTCTATAGGACGATTATAATTTTAATGCCAAGGCAGAAATTGACTATTTGATAAACAACGGAGAAATTTCGAATGAATTCAAATTTAATTTTTATTTGGAGATGACTTTTTTGTCGTAACTGTCCGTAACGTTTGATTATTTTTCACAAGTGGGGGAGGAATGTGATTTATTTATTTCTTCAGATTTCTGTTGTTTTGATATGAGTCATGTCTCTTCTGACATTTGCGAAGAAAATTCCAACATTATCGTGTAGTTATGAGAAAAAATAGTGCACTATCGGAAGGAAAATAGTTCTCCCCTAGTGTACAATATTCTATTTCTTCATTCTTGAAACTTGTGGTTTTATACTTGTCCAAATCAGATTTTTTAAACATTGGCAATAGAAAGAATCAAAAAGAATAAAAATTTATTAAAATACCGCGCCATAACTAGATATTCTCCTGTATTTTTAAGATTTGAGGTGTATTACATATTCTTCACTAGAATATTCAATCATTCGTTCATTCGGATTCTATTTAGTGATGGGACGTTAAAATGTGATATTGTAACGTACAATTTCTCTCTTTTATGAGCGTTGACATAGCGTGTTGTTTTCGTTCTATTATTACTTTTTTTTTCTGCCAAAGTTGAGCTATTTCTTGGACGATACAAATAGTGCTAGGTGTTCGGAGATGAATAGCATATGGAAAATAAAATGTATCAAACCAAAATCATGTCATTTCTCTGCTTTTCGAGTAGACGAAACAGAGATCAGTCGAACGACATAGGGTTCTCTTCCTGTTATTAATTTTAAACAAAGAAGAAAAATTATTGTCACTTACTTAAAGTAAAATTATTATTGCAATAAGTACGATTGATTACCAAAACTCATTCAATCTCGTCACTATTGAAATGAAGCTCGTGTATGGGTAGAAAATTTGCGTCGCGGTTATGAAAAAAATATGTAACAATTAATCGGAGTATTCCGACGGACAGATATGATAAGAGAAACATCTAAGGGTGCACTTTGAATGGTCTAACAATAGCAATTATCGAGAATACAAATTGAACAGAGGAATGAAAAGTTAAAGAGGGATAAGTCACAGTCAATGACAATACAAAGTGATCTCGATAGACGTTTGGACAATGCCCACTCTTGTAGTCACATCACAGAAAAAAAAAAGGTACAAGTAAAAATCTTGAATCGTTTAGTCATAAACAAGCTCACTGAATCGTACACAGAAACAAAAAGAACAACGCGATGCGGTAGATGATTCGTCATTCGAATAAGCCTTAAAGATAGAAATTAAGGTACAGATGCGAGAAGAGAGGGAAGACTTGCATTATGGAAAAAATTTCAATTATCAGGCCAACTCGATGGTGCAGAGAGTAAATTTTATTATTCTTTAATTAGCTGTTTTGTTATTCATTGACATTCTCAACAGAAATCAATATTTTCGACAGTATTTTAATTGAATTGAAGAAAAACTCGAGTGATTATGCGTTGGAAATTCAAAATTAATGACTAAATATTTGGAATTTGTAGCACATTGATATGATTTTAAGTATAAATCCGATTAATTTGTGCGAAGTGAGTTCAAAAGTATTAAACATAGATTGAATAAACAATTATGAGTGATTAAAAAGAGCTTCCCTCTCGAAGATCGGTGCGTTTTCCTGGTCCTTCAAGCAAGTGAAATGAAAAAAAAAAAACAATAAATGATACAAATGGGATAGAATTATCCGATAAATGCCGAATTGTAACAATAAAATGATCAATTTAATTGAATGATCTTGTGAGAGACGCACGGTTCTTCGTGGCCCTTGGAAACGCACGTGTAACCACAAAAATGCAAAAGGTGAAAAATCTCATTATCTCATTAAACTGAAACCATCGTTGTGCTGTTGCACGTGCGCATCCAATGATTCAAGATGAAAATAAACAAAACAAAGAAAAAAAAAACAAAGTTTGCGATTTATAAATAGTCTATGCCTTCAATTTTGTTATTCTTTAAGAGGAGGAAATCCAAGAATATTGAATTATCATAGAGACACTTTATCTATCACTGCTTCAACCAAAGTACATTGTCACGTGTCTCTCTGCTAATTGAATTTTCAAAATCTATTCGAAGTCCGAGATTGGATACGTTTTAATTTTTAAGTTGTGTGCTCAATGCACGAAGAGATGAAATACATCGTTGAATTCAAAATGATTAAACAATGAAGATACACTCTGAGTGAGTAAATGATAAATATGCATTAGTAACGTAATGATGATAATGAGGAGAAAAATGGAAAAGTTTTTAGACTTATATCCTAAACCGAAAATTCGTCAATCAACTCGGTTAGATCGAGTTCACTGTGATTTTAAATTCTAATTGCGTGACATTCCTTGAACGCGTTTAACAGTAATAAATGAAAGCAACGACGTTTGTATACAAGGAAAGTTATAAAATAAATGTAAAATTTTACTAGATTTTATTGACGAGTTTTCTATAGGAGGTAAAACTACATTTTTCAATTGTAAAATCGATCAATATTCATTTCAACTATTATTATTTTTTTCAATAGAAAATACTCATCGAGGAAATGTTCTGCTAGGAGGTGGGCTAGAAGATGCATCAAAATTTATTGTAATAAAACAATTATCAAATGAATTACTTATCAATACGTCAACTAGGTCACGTCGTTGCAGAATAACGCGTTCGTCGATAATTTTCACATGTCTAATTTACCATTTTTTTAAAATTGATGTTTTGAAAAATGAAGGGGGAAGGGTAGTGTTTAAGTGACCAAATCAAGAAATGAACATTTATAACGATAATAGAAATAATCTTGGTCGAGAAATAAGATATGTTAAAGGTGCGTGAAATGTGTGATAAATAGAGAACCGTGAGAACGAGATCAAGAGTCTCTTCATCAATAAGTCCTTCAGACGAAGAGGATTGAGGATAATGGAGGAGAATGAGGTATTGCATGATTAGTTGAACATCAGATCAGGATCTGTATGCAATATCATACCAAAAACAACACAGGATGTCCACGTAGATGACTATTTAAAAATACATTCGTGAGAAGAGAAGAGAAGAGAAGAATTGAAGCTCGGGGAGTCAAGGGGTGGAACCATCGACGATAATGAGATATGGATTGGAGCAGGTGAATCGTAGAGCAGCTAATATATATGAAATGCTTTCTGCGACACCTCAGAATACGATTGAACAAAGAACCGAAGCTGCGAATTAAAGAAAAAAAAACTGCTACATTGCATAAAAAAAATATAATAAAAAATATTAATACGCAGTTTGAAAAGCAAACAAATGATGTATATCAAGGATAATTTGCGGAGGATGATGAGAAAGTTTTTTGGAGATTTGTTATGGATTTATTGCAATGGCTGAGACATCTTGAGCCTCATGATCAGATTTAAGGATGAATAAACAGTGAATACTCTTCCCGAGAAACAGCTGATTCCAAATAGCTGTTTATGATCTTTCGGCTGGAATGGAATTTTTCATCAACCGTCCTTTATCGTCATAAGCAGATGATCGTATGATCGCTATTTTAATTCATACTAAAAAAATTAATACAATTCGAGCAAAATACTATTCAAATATATGAATCTTCTTTTCTTTTGGTCTTTTGGAAACAATAGCAGGTGAGAGTGTCTACATCATATGATAAAATCAAAGAATTCTAATAAATTCAATTGACTGCAGTAATTATTATTATTGGCTGACTGCAATAATCGAAAGGCTCGAATTTCTTCTAATCAAATTTCAAACTCCTTCATGTGATGGGGAGATTAATTTCATTAAAAATCATAGCACTCTCATCTTAGTTTAATTGGCAAACTGTTTTTAGGGCCCTTTTCAGGGCCCGCAAATATATTCAGATGTGGTATACTCAAATTTCGCTGGGAAAAATAATCTGCCCTTTTTAGGGCAAAAATAAAAACGTAATTCGAACAAACGTTCTTTTGAGAGCGCAACGGAAATTGTCCTTGTCAGGACGATCGTTCGTCAACGGCAGCTTATGATGGTTGGGGGAAGCCAGACCTTTGGAGGTGAAATCCATCCATGGAACGCACTCAATGGCAGTCTAAACTGGATGATAGTCGGTGGATTGATGCCATCATTGAAGCAGAATCAAGAGATAAGTTCATTTTTCTTTTTCTTTTTTTTGGAAAATCTTCACTCTGAGTCTGATGACACTTCAACTCTCAAAGTTCTGATTTTTTCAGATTGAGGAGCACATATGCTGTACCATTTTGAAGCTTATGAAGTTGATGAATATTAACAATTAAAAATTGATAAATAATAATGAATATTAATATTCATAGTATAATAAACGGAAATTTGCGAGCGTTACAGGATATTATAGTCGTATTATTATATGAATATAATATACTGTAGCTCTTGGGGATTTCCGTTTCAAAAACAAAATATTTAGTACAAAAGAATTTTTTTGTCTGTAAATATTTTTTTGCGAATTAGAATTTTGTAGTGAAATTTTGAATGGAAAAAATATCGATGTCATTCTGCAGTTTATTGTTAACTAATGAAATTAAGGGACGAAAAATGAATTCAAATTGTTTAAAGTTCAGGACTGATACGAGTAAATAAAAAAAATTGTTGACAACCACGGGCGCGTCCCGTGCTGTGAATATTTGCCATTTTTAATGTACATCGGTAATATTTTCTATTATGAAAATCATAATGATATGAAATTTTCCAGGAAGGAATAAAACTCTCAGAATTTTCATTCCAACATTTCTCTTTTATTATAAATTGTGAAAGTGAAGAATTTTTTCGTTTATGCAATTGATTGTGATAATTTTCTTAAAATACGAGTGTTCATAGTTTTACACAATTATTTCTATTCCAATGACTGAATTAATTAAAGCAATTAATGGGCCAATATTCAATGAGAGGGGAACACAATACAATTATTTACAATTTATAAATAAATCACTAATCCTTCACTTGTTCAAGACCTAGTCATTATAAAGTTTATACATATGGCCCAGGAGTAATTGTATTAATAATTCCTCGTGTGAAAATTTAACATTTTTTTATCAGTGAGGTGCAATTCACGAATACAAATCATTGTGGAGTTTAACTGAATTAAAATAATTGAATTTATCCAGACTGAATCGCTTGCTTCGGCATTTTCCAGATTTCCAGGTTTCCATGCGAATCAGCAAGAGCAGCTGTATCTCTGAAATGTGAGACATGTCACAAGATCGAATTACAAGTTACATATTGGACGTGAAAACTGTATTTCTGCATGAAGACGAGTTTCATGTCAGGCAAATGGATAAATCTATTTTAAAAAACAGCTGGTTGGAGCCTATAAGTGATAAGAGGCATCAAATTGATGCACATTTCATATTTTTGTTACATTGAGAAATAAGAAAATCATTTGTCTTTCTCAACTTCTTTCTAAGAAAATTCGTAAAACTTTTTTTTGTCGACAATTTATTTCACCAAATCATGTTAATTATGTATTTTTTTATTTACTTCAAATTATCTATCAATTTCTCTTAATTGAATTCATAATCATTGAGTATTTATTTACAGTAAAATTTAGGGCAGAGCTGGGCAAAACGGAATTCGGGGCAAAATGGGATATTTGCGCAAAAACGTTTTTAACTCATTGCCAGTCATTTTTTTTTCGGCAAAAAATGTTGGAGACGGTCTTAAAGTGTCTTAGTGTTTTTTGCGAATTCAATTTCTTCTCTTGATTATACTTTTGTTTTCTTTCTTTTTTTACATATATAATATATTACATATAAACTTGTCCACCCATGTATACCCTTTCGGGCTTCTACATTTCCCATCCCCAGTTCCCCCTGTACCGCAATTACGCCGAGGGCCGAAGGGAAAACCTCATGGGAAAAAACCTTGGCCAGGTACAGTCGTCTCTTTCGAGACTATCACTCGTACGATGAAACCTGTGCTAGTTAGAGCGAATTCTATCTCTAAAAAACCCCTGGCATTTCCCCGACTGGGAATCAAACCCACGAATCTCATGTGCCAACCCCCTACGATCTAACCGCACGGCCACCGCACGTCGGTTCTTTCTTTTTTTATTTTTCAACATTTTGAAAAAATACACCATCTAACTTGAATCACTAATTGATCGCTTCTGATCGTGAAATTCCTTATATGAAAATTTAATGTTTTTTATCAGTGAAGTGTAATCAAATTCTGGAAAAACGGAATTTTCAAAAAACCTATTCCTACGACCGATTTTTTACCCTCGTCTCCCATTTAACGTCCCCTATGCAATTAATAAATATTACTGTCTCGTAGAAGAGAGGAAACAAATAAATAGTGGATCTAAATTCCCCGTATAAATGGAAATTCAATTAAACAATCATTTCGAATGCAAATAAATAAATTTATTATCGCATTTAATATAAATCTCTCGAATTCGTATCCACATGAAAAAATCCGAAAATTCATGACGAAATTTTGAGTTAATTATCAATTACCACAATTACCTTTTTTTGTTGAAATCAAAAGCTGTAATGTTCTCCGTAGTAGACTCAATTTTCAAATTTGTAACTAGTCTTCCGTGCGAAATGTCGTAGAAGTTTACAGACGAATCCGCTCCATAGGCCGAAATTATTTCTTTTCCATATGGAAACCATTTTAGTCCGATTACTGTATGCTCCACTGCAATCACCCGAATAATGCAAATCTGGAAGGTCAATTACCATTAATTATATTTCCATAAATCAATTGACGATTCAATAATTGTAAATACATACTTGATCAACATCATAGACTCGCAATTCCATATTAGTTCCACTAGAAATGAATAAATTAGTCGTCTGGGAACATCTCAATGCTGTAACACTGCCTTCGTATCTATCATATTCATCTATCACCGGATCGAACAATTTATCATCACCTGTGGACAAGTAAAATATTTTTACTTCTCAATGGAATATCATCGTTGAAATTTAAATTTTGTGTTTTTTTGTCTCATTAACCATTAAGTAGCGAAGTTACTAACTAGGATAAGGGCATATTTTTTCGAGATGAGTTTTTCCTAAATATCTCGCGGTAAAAAGAAAATAGGGATTTTTTTGCAATGATTTTTCTAGTAACGTTCAATTGTGAAATATTCATTGAAAACTGGCCGCGAGAAAACAGCACTTGTCCTAGTTTACCACTTCTCATCGGAAGAATGATTAAATTAAGAGTATTATCAAGTCCTAGTCATCGATATTAATTCAAATGCAATTCACTGACTTTTGATTGACTTTTTTAAGTTTTGAATTTCTTTAAAAATTTGTTTGTTACAATAATTGAAGAAGAAATGTTATGAGAAACTTCAATGATAGTTTAAAAAAATTGTTTGGATTTCTTGTTGATCGAGTCGGAAGATGGAAATAATTACAATAACCGTTACATTGATATGTAAGAAAGATTTTCCAAAATCGTATTTTGCAAATATTTTATTTTTGGTCCTGTCGCGGGATATTCTATTTCAATTGAATTCGGATAGAGTTTAAAATTATGGTTTCGATGCTATACTTTTGAAATTGGGAGGCGATTCCGATAACTATAAATGTTGATATCATTTTCCAGGTAATTTTTGCTAATTCCGAATTTTTCATTGATTATTTAAAAATCATCTTCCTGATTTTTTCGTCTATTCTAGTTTTCTTTATCTATTAGGTTCCAAATTCATTCGATTATTTCTGAAAGAAATCTTGCCATCAGTTTTTATCGAAATTATATTCATATTGCTAATTTATTTGCAAAATCAATTACACTATATGTAATGAAACCGTAATTTCCCACATCTATATATTTCAGGAAACATTGATAATTAATTCGGAACAGACCTTGTACTGGAATCGAAGAATCGAGGCTACACTTATACAAGCCTCCGCATAATGTTCCCACAATGAAAATGGGATTTTTTAATGAAAAATCAAGACACGTAATGGAGAGACCAGCTTCAGCTGCGCGTTCTTTGCGTCCACCCGCGCTGCGAGGTCTTGTATTTTCCGTGGGATTGTGTTCTTTAACTATTTTGTACCTGAAAATGTCAGATTGATAAACTAAATATGGTTTCTATTCCACAGGTTTGACTCCTTCAGCGTTTCTGCATTTGTGGAATTCGCATTGCAAATGTGAAAAAGAAGATACGAATTTCAATTTTTTATTATCAACTTTGTCACTTCGTCATAAGAAGAGTAAATAACAGAAAAAAATAAATTTTTCGTTCCCAAATCCCGAGAGTCCCTTTTTTACATTTGTTAGTCTTTTTTTTTAAATTGATCTTAGATTTTTGTTTTGTTCAGAGTGAATTTCTGTGAAGAAAAGAAAGTTCCCAATGGAAAAATTAATATAATAAAAATATGAATAATAAAATTCAATATATTTTTGAAATATCTATGAAATTCCTAAAAATAGATGAGAAATATGCACAAATTTACGGAATAATGTAATATATTAATAAATATATTAACAAATAATGAATAATAAGTTTATTAAAAGTAATATAAACGTGTATTATCCATGTAGAAGAAATGAGATAAAATAATGATGGAAAAAGTAGAGACGATCGAACATGGAGTCAATTGAGAGGCATCAAAGGAAAAATGCTCAACAATACTTACTTGTTATGCAAACTAGCGATTGTAAAGTTGGCAGTTAATTTATGAATGAAAATGTATCCATCTGCACTAGACGTTATGAGCAAATGTGGCTCATTTATGGTGCGTTCACGCCAGAGTAGAGACGTTACCACATCACCATGAACGCAGACCAACAATGGCACTACTGATTCCTCGTCTGCTAAATTCCAGAGAGCCACATCACCTTTCGACAAATTCTCTATTATTTTTTCCCTGAATGAATTAGCACCTTGAGTTTCAATTCAATTCAATGATGAGTGGACAAACCATTGAAAAATCCTGCAGCGAAAATCGATGGCTTTGTTGGATGATATGAAATATCAGTAATGCAGGCATTAGTCTCCAGGTGTTTATTAGCAGTGGGAGGTACATCGTCGTCCCTTTTCAGTTCGTAGAATTTTATTTCCGACAGGTGGTCGCACCATTGTTCGTGATAGGGAATGCTGTAGGCAATGGCCAAGGTTCCACCATGCGTACTCCAGGTCAGTGCACTTATTTTCCTCTGCAAACAATAAATAATTTATGACATTTTCGGATATACAATACATTTCAAATGAATAGACCTGAAATGCTTGTCACCTTTGAGTCGGATTCTTCGAGTGTTGGAAATTTATTCAACAATTTGACCTGCAGCGTAATCTCCTTAGTGGCAATTGGGTCGTATCCATCAAGGATATCGCTCTCCGATGTGTTGTCCAGTGCTTCCATAATTCCTGGTGTCACTTTCCGTAGAAATTCGGCGAGTCTATTGTAATCAATATCCGTTACTGCTGTTATCCTTTCTGCAGTTTGTGTCTAGCATAAAAACGAATAATATGAGGGATATTATAATAATATGGGTAATATGGAGACACATTAAAGACTATTCTATTCTGAATATTCAAAATTTTTCTATGTCCAAACAAATATAAATAGATAAATTAAGTATTTAGTAATCAGCCAACGGTCAAGTGGGATTTATAATACACAAAAATCGGTAATAATGATGTGGATTATTAAATAGGTTTATAATTCTGATTGGCTATGCTTCAGCGATGGTTTTTTATACTAAATTTGGTACGTCGTTATATAATTAAAAAAAGGGTTTTTCGATAGCATAAAATTGACATTGAAACTGGCAGGGATTATATGATTTTTAACAAGAAGCTCATCCTTTTTGATAAGAATTCTGTCATCCGAGCAAGATATTCGAAAATTACCGGTTTTTTTAGTTTCCTGGAAAATTATCGATGAGATTGAAGTAAAAAAAATGTTTATGTTTTTCATTATTCCATAATTCCCAGAATGTCATGATCGTGCAATAATGTTCCAGCGTTTTTAAAAAAATTCCCTAAACCTTAGGAAAAGACAGAAAAGTTATCGCACGTTTATGTAATCTTTGTGGGTCATAAAATTATGAAAAGATGTTAAAAAGGGTATTATATTGTGTCGATTCTATCAACAATGTGTCTGAAAAATGAAACTGAAAAAACTGGTAATTTTGTCTAAAAGAGGACAAAAAATCCTTAATTGCTGTACCAATCGAAATAAAAATATCTCCATATTACCCTCCCCTAAATAAATCAATGAAACCCGTTTTTTCCATTGCAATTTTTAATTCTTCACTTCTGACTCAATATTTTACCTGGGCACTTTGTTGAGTAATATTCTGCGACTGTTTTGAGTCGTGACGAATATTTTCCGTTTGTGCAGCATTTGATACTGCTTCTCTAGAAAAAACGACACACTCTAAAATAATCATTCAAAGAATTTTCATTTTTTAATAATATTAAAATTTGGTGGTAACTTACTTAACAGTTGTAGCAGCAGAAGAAAATCCGGATGGTTCACTGGAATTATCACTGAACATGATTCTAACAAATTGATTTAATCTCGAATAAATGAAACAACTTGATTGTTTATTAGATAAATTCAAGCATGCTTAGATTAAGTATTGGTTCAGTCACCGATAAAGAGCTCTAAGCATTCATATGCTGGCAAAAAACTTCAAATATCGGAGTAATTCCCAGTTTTATGATTTCAGTAAATTGTCAAAGACATAAACATTGGATATTACCATTCACTCCATCTCTGGGGTATTAATTGAATTTGCTGGTTGTGATGGTAAGGGAAAATATTTTGGCGGCAATTACTGAAATAAGAACAATAGGGATCATTAGCATTATTAATAACTTCGGAATAAGTAGGGGCCAGGAATTTAATTCTCAATCAATGAAACTGATTTCATTTTTTTATTTCTATTAGGAGCGGAGGAATTAATTTCTAACTCCTAGGCGTCTAAGGCGTATCTGCGGACGAGTTGCTCGTATTTCATAATTAATTTAATTTATTCTCTGCTGTTGATTGAGATAAATGAATGAAATTAATGCCGATCGGTCGGGAATGTAACTCTCCATTAATAACAATAGTTTTATTTATTGATTTCCATTAGGAGCGGAGGAATGAATTTTCGGTCTCAATTTTACCGCACGCCTGGCCCACGACGATCCACCGACATTAACATCAAAACCCAATCATAAAAATTCAACACCATTTCTTTCCTTTTCTTTTCGATTCTTACACTCCTCAGGTACATTTTATAACAATTGGATTATCGATTCTAGGATGTGGAAGTTTGAAGCAAAATAGACTCATTATTTTTTTCTGATAATAAAAATTGTGTAATAATTCTGTAGTCTCCTACAATATTTTCTAGCCTCACAGAAAAAATACAATTTTAATTACATTGACTTGACATTCGAGATAATCGACTGTCAATTATTTCATGAAAAATTTGCCCGATTGGTAACCAAATAATTGTCTCATAAATACCACCAAAGTATTCGTAGAAATAGAATTTTAAATGGATTCCCATCTAGACGAATTACCGAATACTGATTCTTCCTCTTGGGAGGTATATTGTCCTGCCGATTCGACCGTCAGCTTCTCTGAAGTCTCTGACGACGACGTCGAAGAGTTTTTTGATGATACCTATAGTGACATTGAACATAATGATCATAATGAGCTTGAACAATCATCCAGATCTGAGAATTTGGAGAATGCGATTACTCATTCAATTGATTGCCAGAAGGTAGAAATGCTTATGAAGCGAGTTTCTTCTTTGAAAGACACAATAATAGATTTACGGGAGTCTATAAGTGAGGAGCATCGACTGTGGAAGCGAGAATGTGAGGAATATAATCTCATTCATGAAAGATTAAAATTTCGTGCACTAGAAGAGGTAACTACGGCAGCCCGTCTAGCTTCAGAAGCTTATGTTATTGAATCAGCTAAAGGTGAGACTGGAAATATTAAAAAATGATTTATTTCATGTCCATTCCGCCATTTTCTCTGTAAGAAGTTAATTCGTTGTAAAACGGTCCAGATTAATCTTTTAACAGGATATAGTCTTGATTGATTGCATTGTGCATATGAACAGCTAAAATATAATTAATAATAATAATTATCATTTTGATTGCTTTGCTGTTACAAATGGTTTTTTCTTGTTTTACATCCTCACATCCCTTAATCTACCCCTCTACTACATTTTTTCAAATATTTTCTACACTCTCCTCTCAACCTAACACATAACTTATTATCAAAGCGTAGATTGTCCTTATTTTCCTATTCTCTCTTATTAAGCTTTGCTTCTAAAAAACTTTTTTCCTTTCGTATACCCTTTCTGGTCTTTACGATTTGTTCCCTTCCCACCCCCCAACCCCCTGTACCCCATTTGCCGAAGGGAGGGAAAAACCTCATTCGAGGGGAAAAACCTGCCCTGGTACAGTCGTCTTTTTGACAGGACTACCGCTCAACAGTGAAACTGTGAGATTAGAGCGCTATAAATTTTGAATTTTGAATTTTGACCGTCGGTGCCCGGGATCGAACCCGGATCTTTGGCATGCTAGTCTAGCACTCTAACCGCACGGCTATACTAAAGTCAGCATAAGTTTTTACTTCTCTGGGTACCCCCACTCCACGTAGTTACCACTTGTAACCATGTCCCCCACTCCTAAAATCAATGTTAAAACTTATGCTGACTTCAGTATACTACCGTCGGTGCTTTGCTTCTATTTTGCACTTTCCGTGATTCCTTTCATTCCGTGCCTTCTTTTGGCGCTTCTTTGGTCAATCTTTCCTGTCTCATCGTTCCTTTCTTCCTCCAGTTCTCAGCTTTCTTTCCAATCTTCTGAGCCTCTTGCAAAACTTCTTCGTCGTGGATCCCTCTAGCTTTCTAACGAGCCTTCCCCTCCAGTCCCGCTTGCTGCTTTATCTCCTTCAATGGCTCCACCACCGCCTGCCCTCTAGCCTGCTTAAATATAAAATTATATAGTTTCCATTGTAACTATTCTTAAGTGACGGTAATATTACTATAGGAGTGGAATTTCGAATCCCATTATTATTAGGGTAAAACGAATATTTTGAAAAACCTAGACTATCAATAATTCATATTCGAGAAATAAAGGGTTTATCCTAAAAATAATTGGATTGAAAACTGCACCCCTCGATGTTACATACACTGAGAAAAAAAATTATTTTTTCCAAGAATATTTTCTTCCTACTAGTAAATCTGGGGATCACTGTGTAAATACTCCCATAAGACTTACTAATGCCAAATATATTTTCTTGTGGTTAGTAAATATTCTTGGCTAAAGAAATTTTTTTTTTTAGTGTAGCCACTTGATTAGGTAAATTTATAAATTTTTCTGTTATCACCTACAGGAAATAGTTCCCATACACCGCGTCGGAATATATTGGATAATGATTATTACACAAAGCTGAATCAAATCGAAAGACTTTGCAATGAAGAATTGCGGAATGTTTATAACGATGTGGAGGCTTTACAGCCCCTAAAGGAGATTGTTTCTCAATGGAATATCAGTGATGAAAAAACTATAGATGAATGTGAGGAAGGTAGTAATTGATGAGACCATCTGTTTCGAAATCTGAGATTTATTATAAGAAATAATGGAAATAAAAATTTGCAATGTTAAAAACAATACATCGAATGCTTTTACTTTTTTCAAATCTTCCGCTCCCCACGTTTTCAGTATGGTAAATTAATTGTTGAAAGACTTTTTTTCGTATTAAAAAGAATTTATTCATTAAAATTTGATTTACAAAATTTTACATTTATTTCAGTAGTCACCGCAGATATTTTAATGATGAGTATAACGGGCCCGCAATTCTTAACTTGCCAATCTATTGATATGAATCTACGTTACTGCTATTACCACTACTTCTATGCTACTAATAATAATATATTTCCATATGTATACCCTTTCGGGTCTTTACATTTTTTTTTTTTTTTGTTCCCTTCCCTTAGCTGCTAAAACCCTGTCTTAAAGCTTATTCAGTACATCCATGTTACAACTAGTTACAAACTGTTTCCATCACAAAAAAAACATAACCGCCATAAGGGCTCTTATATTAATAATAGCATTGCATTATGCGTTAACTTAAGCTTAGCCTAGTACTTATTTAGTTAATTGCCTCCGTCTTTGGCCTTTTTTCGCTGGAGATCAGAGGGCTTGGAGTGTCCTATTCGTTGTACCTTAGGACAAAAGAAAAAGAAAAAGGATAATAATAACCGGGGACCCGCGTGCCATCACCCACGCCATCGAGACGGTTAAAAGAAAGTACTCCTCGGCCGTGAAATATTCGTTACAGCTCTCAGTTTCCCTTCGGCTTCCACTCCTTCAATCCTAGATGGGACTAGCTGTGAACAAAAGCCTCAGTCTAGTCGAAAATAGACACAATGTGAAAATACGACCCAGGGGGTTGTCATAGGGTAGCACCATGTGTTCCTGCCTGCTCCCCCTCCCTTACCCTCAGTAATTTCTCCCATTCCCTATAGAATTTGCAAAGTTCTGAGATTGGCCTTCCCCCCAGTAGCTCCGCAATTGACTCCCCCCTTCCTAGCTTCTTCCAGTTATCCCATGCTTCCTTCACGGCCCCCCCTTTGATACCATCACAGGCCAGGATATGGTCAAGGTCCTCCGAGGCTCCCGCACACATCCTGCAGGATACGTCATCGTAGCCCTTGTTTCCGGCTTTTCCCACATTACCACAACGCAGTCGCGCCCACATCACTTTATCCCCCCATGAGACCTCCCTCATTTCCCAGTAGCAGGCGTTATCATCCCTCCCCTTCAAGTGCTTGTACATTGGATTGAACCTAGAATGGTTGATCCTCTCCCAGTCTTCCCTTCTAGTCTTTTCTCTCCCTCTGTTTAGGTACTCCTCTGTCTTTTCCCTAAACTCTTTCCTCTCGAGTTCCCCCTTGCTTAGGATCTCCGTAAATTCGTTGACTTCCCAGTCCTCCAGCGCTTCCTCCAGCTCTTTGCCCCAAGTCGAGGGGTGTCGGTTCTTTAGCGCCCTCAGTTCCTCCCTCAGGCAGATTTGAACCAATCTGTCCTTCTCCAGTCTGCTCACCTCTCCCAAGAATTGGAGCGCTCGCCTTCTGGTCTCAAAGATAACGCTTTCTCTCCCGCTCTCGGCTCTCCACAGGTAATCTGGTGTTATTCTAGCCACCCCCATCCCCATTTTTATAACCCTTCCTTGTATTCGTTCCATTGCTGGCCTTTTCTTCAGTCCCCAGATCTCCGTTCCATACATTGCCCCTGCCTTTCCCAGGGTGTTCAGGATATATAGCCTATTGTTAAGGGTGTGTAGCCCTGCCCTTGCCGCGATGCCCCATGCTGCATTGGTCGCTTTGATTCCTTTGCCGGCCATTTTTCGGATGTGCCCCTCCCTTGAGTTTCTGGATGTGAACCAGTATCCAAGGTATTTAAAATTGTTCACCACCTCCACTGGTTTCCCACCAATTATCCAGAGCTCCCCCTTTTTCCTTCGCCCCCCACCCCTGAAGACCATGATTTTGGTTTTGTTTACGTTGATTTCGAGTTTATTTTTTGTGAAGTATCGCTCGGCCGTAACTAACATGTTTTGCAACCCCCTCGCGTCCTCGGCCACAACTGCGATATCGTCTGCGTATTTCAGGCAATAGACTTTTGTTTTCCCTATGACGGACCCACCCTCATTTCTCCTCTCCCATCTTTCATCAATGTCATCGATGAACAGGTTGAAGAGAATTGGGCTCAAAGGACATCCCTGCCTGACTCCCTTGCCTGTTGTGAATCTCCCCGTTATCCCCTTCCCTGTGATGACTTCATTCTCCGTGCACCCGTAGAACGCTTTTACCATTTCGTAAAAACGCGCCCTGATACCCAGTTTCCACATCTTCTCTAAGAGCAGATCTCGGTCAACCGTATCGAACGCTGCTCTCAGATCGACGAAAGCTGTGTAGAGCTTACCCCCCTTGTTTTTTATTCTGTTTCCGATCAACGAGTTCAAAATGAAAATCTGTTCCCTAGTTCCCCTTCTTCTTCTGAAGCCCCCCTGGCTCTCCCTGAGTTTCCCCTCTCTTTCTAGCCAGCTACCTAGTCGCCCGGCCATGATGCTGGCTAGCAGCTTATATCCCAGGTTTAGTAGGGAAATCCCCCTATAATTTTCTACTTCGTTTTCGTCCCCCCCCTTGTGGATGGGGAAGATGCGCGCTACTTGCCACCCCTTCACCAAGATCCCGGCTTCCCATCCCTTCTGCACGATTTTCCACAACTCAACCTTCCAGCTCTCCGGTAGGTTTTTCAAAAATTCGCCACTAATGCCATCCTCCCCCGCTGCTTTCCCATTCTTTAGTGCCTTCAGGGCCCCGCACAGCTCTAGGTATGAGATGTCCCTATCGATGTCCTCTACCTCGATCCTCTCCTCCCCCCCCTCCCAGTTTCTATTTCCATTCCTCGCGCTCTTAACACCCCCCAGGAGCTTTGTCATGTGACTCACCCATCGCTCGTCCGTGATCGAATTCCCCTTCCTCGCTTCATGTGGCCGGCAGTCATCAATGGCTTTCCAGAACTCCCCCATGCTCCTACTTGCTTGTACTTTGTTTTTCTTTGCTTCAGCCGCTTCCTTCAGTTTATTTTTGGCCATTTGCTTCATTTTGTTTCTTTCCCGCTGGAATTCTACTTTGTCCTTCGCCTTATAACTGCTAAGGTACCGTTTAAGCAGTCTGAAGACCAGTCCCCTTTGAATTTTATACTCCCTCCCCATCCACTCCAGACAATCCCTTGGACGTCCATTCCCCACTCTCTTGGTCATCCCAGTTTCCTCCGCCGCCTCCACGATTGCGCCCTTCAATTTTTCCCAGCGAGTATGAATGTCTTCCTCCTCCTCCGATTCCACTCCCTTATTCTCCAGGAAGTCTTGGTATGGGACTCCGGCCTCCTGCCTCCACACAAGCTTTACCTGAGCTTTTCTAGGTTTAGATTGCTCCTTCCCCTCTTCTACGTGCTGGGGTGGATCTGGGCCCAGCCCCTTGGGGCCCCGCAGCGTTACGGCAAGACCCATGTGGTCTGAGTCAATTGTTGGCCAGATATTAATACTCTCTAGGACCCCCGGCTCCCCCTCGTGCAGAATTAAGTCAATGACTGATCCCTCTACGTCATCCCTATTTGATACGCAGGTGATGGCACCGTCCCAGTCCCCCTTAAATGCCCCATTAGCTATGATCAAGCCCTCTGAATCACAAAACTCTAGGACCTTCCTTCCCTCTCTGAGTACCTTCTCATCCCTGGACTTACGTTCCAGGCTCTCCTGCCCGTCCCCTGCCTGCAGTGAGCCCACTCTCGCATTAAAATCCCCCATAACTACAATGGATTCCCCCCGCTCTCTCCCGTCATCCACCTCTTCCCTTATTTCCGATAGTAATTGGCCAATTCCGGCATTATTGTATCCTGCGATCAATCTACATTTCCTACCTCCCCCCCACAAGTTAACCCCTGATACGACAGCTCCGTTACTCCAGGTCTTGACTTTAATATGTCCCCCCAATGTGCTCCTGACCCCCACCAAAATTCCTCCCTTGCCCCTCCCTTTTTTATTTCTTTTAATGGCCCTCTCATGCATCCATTCAAAGTCATTTGTAATGCTTTTCAACCTCCTCATCAGACCCTCCTGCTTGGAATTGATTACATGGGTTTCTAATAATACTATTATGTCGTAGGAAGCGATATCCTTCCATACCCTCTTCAATTTGTCCCCCTTGAGCCCTGCAACATTCCAGCATGTGGCTCTGATGTACGAGTGCCCCTTATCCCCCCCCGCCAGTCATTGATTGTCCCCGATGTTATTACCCTCACAGCCCCTCTCCTCGGCGTTCACCTTCCTTCCCTTGGTTTGGTCCTCTCTGCTGTCCAGCTCTCCCAGTTCCTCGCTCCATCTGTACCTGACGTTGTCTAGCCAGATACTCTGCTGGAAACCCAGGACTCTCGCCGGTATGCTTTGCCCCTTCGCTCGCTCTGCCAGCACTTCGAGGTGGCTGACCACCTCCATCTGCCTTGGCGTTAGGTCGTCCTTCACCGTGATTCCCACTTCCTGCAGCTCCCGCAGGCGCCACCTCCTCATCAGTGCGCTCTTCTGAGCATGAACAGCCAGTGCGAATAGTTGGTCCCCGGTGGCCAGGGTCTGCGCTGCCAGCACTTTGATGTTTAAACCAGCCCTATCCCTGACCGCAGTCACGAAATCCACTGCTTCCGTGCCTGGTAATGAATTCAGGCCTGTCACGATCACATTATTCTCCCTCCTCCTTCTTTCTCTGTACTCGAACCTCAGAACTCCCTTGCTCAATTTCTCCGGTGCCCCGTAACCCGTAACCATCCTCCCAACGGGGTCCTTGCTTTCCTCTTGTCCCGGCTCATCGCCCTCCTGCGTGGCCCTCTCCTGAGAGGAGATTTTCACGGCCCTAGACTGGGTCTCTTGGCCTCCAACGAAGTTCCCGTTGCCGTCCGTTTTCACTGGGCTCCTCACTCCCTCGACCCCAACCCTACTGTAGTCAGCTGAGGGGGCCTCCTCTCTGTTGGTGCTCAACACGGGCTGAGCATTTAGAGCACCCTCCGCCTGTCTCCATCCTCTGACCAGTGATAGCTCCAGTGTCCTCCTCATTTCGTCGAAGCCGAGGTCCACCCATTTCCCCACAGTCTCCACTGATTCACAGACTTTCTCTACTCCGCTTAGAATATTGTTGAGAACCTCATGTAGCCCTGTATCGATTCCACTTGGCCTCCTGGGGGCAGGCTGAGCCTCCTCTCTAGCCATCAGCTTCCTCAGCATTCCCTCGATACCTTCCAGTCTTTTGCTCAGCTCTTGGTTCTCTACTTCTCTGCGAGACTCGCCCCCTTTCCCACAGTGGATACAGACATGTCCCCCTCCCGGAGACATCCTCTCGATTAATTCACTGCTCCTCGTTCGTGACACTGCGGGTTGCGACTGCCACTTCCCCCCTTCTGGGACCCCCGCCTTGCTTCCCTTCGTCCTTGACACCTCCATTTCCAGGTGGTTGTTGTTGCCTGCCTCTTTTCGCTCAGGCCGACGGTCAGCACTGCTTGATCTCGGAGGTTGCGTCGAGTTATCGGCCTCCAACTCCTCCTCTAGCCGACCCCGTCGTGTGCCCCCGTCTTCTCTCGGTGTACTGAGGCTTCTCCGGCTCCTCGGGGGGGTATGGGTGATTTTTGTGCTCGGGGCAAACCACCTTGCCTCTGAGTTCTTTTCGAAGTAGTCGTTAATTTTTTTCGTCTCCTTCTTGGCCATCATTTCCTCCTTCTTGGGCCTCCCCCTCCCTCTCTTTATCTTCCCCTGCTGCCCAGTTTCTGTTCCATGTTGAGCCTCATCTCCGTCGAACTGTTGAGGTTCCTCTTTCCCCTCGACGTCACCTGCTATCAGGCTATGCTCGCTCGCCCTAACGTCCTCCTGGGTTTCTCGCTTGGTATTGCCCCCCCCTCTCCCTCTTCCCGGGCACTCTCCTCTTACCTCCATTATAACCTCTCTGCGCGAACCGCGCGCTGTCAGCGTCAAAAGTCTCCGTAATAAACGCTTCCCCAGCTAGATCTATTACCTCCACTTCTTCCTCGGTCTTCCCGGTAAATTTCCCACCTGAGTTATTCACACTAATTGCCGATAAAACACAATAAATCGCAAAACACCCCAGAGCGATCAAACCGCGTGTCCACTTTCTATGGCGGCCATCTTCCCTCCCTTCTATGCTACTAATATTTATCTAAACTTAAGCATACTTTTCGCCATCCCTGTCTGTGACAAGGGACGGACATGTCCCCTAGGGTTTTGGGCCTTTGGTCGTCCCGTACAAACGCCAAAAGGGCCGGAAGTAAAAATAACTGGGACACCCGCGATATTATCTACCATCGATACAGACGTGATAGATGCAGCTTTCTTGAATGAATTCGTTCGGGGCTGTGTAGGAAAGACAAATATTGTATTTATATTGATATTAGTCCAAAAAACGATTGAATTTAATTGAGAGATGAAAATAGAATTTTTTTCATTAGGGCTAGATGGATATGTTCCATCGTAAAAATTTTCTAGTAAACTCATGAGTTCTGAGCAGGGCAAACATTTCAGTGGATACCTCCTCGATTTTCATGTTCTCCTGATACTTTTCCGAAAATTTCGAATTTTCAAATTTCTGTGAATACCTTTTCGATTTTCATGCTCCCCTGATCCTTTTTCAAAATTTTGAATTTTTTAATTTCGGTGAATACCTCCTCGATTTTCATGCTCCCCTGATAGTTTTATAAAAATTTTGCATTTTCAAATTTCAGTGAATACCTCCTCGATTTTCATGCTCCCCTGATACTTTTTCAAAAATTTCGAATTTTCAAATTTCAGTGAATACCTCCTTGATTCTCATGCACCCCTTATACTTTTTTGAAAATTTCGAATTTTCAAATTTCAGGGAATAGCTCCTCGATTCTCATGCTTCCCTGATACTTTTTTGAAAATTTCGAATTTTCACATTTCAGTGAATACTTCCTCCATTCTAATGCTCCCCTGATATTTTTTGAAAATTTTGAATTTTCAAATTTCAGTGAATACCTTCTCAATTTTCATGCTCCCTTGATACTTTTTCAAAAATTTCGAATTTTCAAATTTCAGTGAATACCTCCGTGATTCTCATGCTCCCCTGATCCTTTTTTGAAAATTTTGAATTTTCAAATTTCATTGAATATCTCCTCGATTTACGAATTGAATTTAATTGAAGAAAAAAAAAATTATGGGCAATTTTTTTACAGATTTTAGATGCCAAATGATAACACCCCACACATGTGAGATTAGGCGCGCAGAGCGCGCCATATACGCCGGTCCAATAAAAGAGATGAGCAACAACAATTTTTTGGCGTCTGGGTCTTCTCAGCTCAGAAGTAATTTGGATTTCACTAATATCATTATTATCTCCATTCAGAGATATAAGTAATTCGAAATTTCAAACGATAGAAGTGAAATAACATGAAAAGAACAGTTCAAAAAAATCTGATATTCGGTAAGATGCGCCCGCTTCTGAGAAACTTAATCAACAATTGTTTCTGTTACGCATAACAGTCAAATTTCTCCATCCTCTGAATATTAAAGTAGCAATGTGTTCACAACTTAAAATTTTTCACTTAAAATTGGCGCCGAGATAATGAGAATCAACTGATTACATATTTGTTCACTACTCCATTGTCAACTAGTGTAGTCAATATCATGAGACAAAGACTAAAATATCGAGCTTTTAGTAGATATTGGAAGAATACTCTATATTTGCATTATCCCTTCTTTTATTTCACCAAAAAATTATTGGAGGGGTCTCAAAGTTCTTATAAAATCATGATCCCTACTACATAGTTATCATAGTTTCGTAATAATTATTCTGAAATGGTTAAATTTCTGATGATCATCGCGCTCGGGATTGCCCTAGCGGTGATAGCTGATTGCAAAGTTGAACCGCAAAACGATGACGGTAAATGCGTAATTGAAGATAATCCATTCAGCGGATTTTTGCAATGGCTCTCTGAAGAGACATCTGCACCTTCAGTGGGCAAAGTTGTGTCATTTGATTTGTACTCCCGAGAAATGAGGAACAAATTTGAATGGAATGGCAAAGGCATGTCCACTGGTTTCAAACCTGAGAGGAAAACAGTCTTCATTGTTCATGGATTCAAGCAGCATGGAGATAAGTGGTGGATTAAAGATATGATCGATGCATATCTTGAACTGGTATGTTATATATTATTCTTTGTATTGTGAAGAAAAAAAAATCTGTGGAGACAGAGTTCCGTTGATTGTGATATTCGGCAAATTATCGAAATGCCAGCGAAGTTGAGTAGAATTCTCTGACATTGCATAAAAGAACGATTAGCGTTCTGACTACTTGAATTTCAAATGACAGATATTTCATTTTTATTTGACTGCCAACGCACGATCCGTAAGATATCTGTCCCAATCCGTTACATGATATTCTCATAGGGAAACACTTCACTCAATATGCATTAAAGATAATGATATTATGTTTACTTATCTGTTATCATTATTAAGTATTTCGTTATTATAATATCATTAAAAATCACCCCGTATGAAAGATGGTGGAAAAATAATGTAACTTTTCAGTTTTTCTGTGATAGATTTGAGTAACTTTCGTGTTTAAATTTGCCTGTATTTTCTGGAATTTTGATCAATGCGAAAAATAAAGGGAGACGTCTTTGCCTAATCAAGCCTTTATCGGTCTCTACCTTTTAATGGGTTTCCCAACCCATTGAAGACCACTGATTTGGGCAATTAAATTGTCATAGATTGTTTTCATCTCAAGGGATTCTTTGAACGGCGGTTCATTGTCAACTCAGCCAGTATATATATGTAATATTATACTGGACGTTGCTATCATGCTAAATAAAGTATTAAAGAGTTTTGTGTATTAAAAAAAATCCATTTATTAAAATTGCGTCTATAAAATTTTTAACCTATTCTCAATATCAATGTACAGTGAATTCTTTACTTAAATTACGGGCCCGCAATTCTTATCTCACTATCTATCATTATAATTATTTAAACATCATTATTTAATCATATTATAATTACCGAAACTTAAGCATACTCTTCGCCATCATTGATGAGGGACGGGCGCGTCGTTTAGCGCGATGGGCATTTAGTCGTCCCGCAGGAACACCAGAAGGACCAAAAGTAAAAATAACAGGATCAACCGCGATATTAGGCCGCAGCGATATAGAGGGAACTGGCGCAGTTTGGATTAAGTTCTTGGACGACTTAGCCCGCACTTTATTAATTAGGTCATAAACAAGCATTTTCTCCCTTCTGATGTGACGCCTGCCAATGACTCTCAATTGAGGATCACTGCGACATACGTCACGCCATCTTCGGGATACTCGAGCCACATTTAGGAGCGAGCGGGGATCTAACATCCTGAAAATATTCTGGGTTATTTCCACTGGCAGATTTACAACTGGATCAAAATCAGGTTTGCCAACACCAAGAAGGCGCATCAGCTTTCCGAAAAATTCCATGTTGCTATTACTGGAGGAAACAGGAGAATGGTCTTTGCTGCTAAGGATTGCCTCTTTATACCGTTCTCCCCACTCCTCACCTTCCCCCACTCCTCCTCTTCCCCCACTCCTCATCTTCCCCCACTCCAGCATAGTGTAATTTCTTAGCAATAATTCAACCGTTTCACCAACTTACCCAAATTTTCCTTTTATTTTGCGTAGGATGATGTCAATATCATTGTCGTAGATTGGAAATGCTATTCGGATGTTGTTCTTTTCCAGTACTACAAAGCTGTTGCAAAATGTAAAGTTACTAGCAGCGAAATAACAAAGTTTGTATGAACACATATCATTATGTCGACTAAATTACGATCTACTAACAATTCAATAAGGAATTATCAGACGCTCATGGTCCACACCCACACGTCAATGGAGAATTCCCCAGAAATTTTTTATATTTTTTCACTTGAAATTTGAAATTTCATTTTCCAACCGTGTATCAATTTCTCAGTTCAACATCCGGACTAAATTTCTTCTTGCGTGTGCTATTATGTCTCAGATTCATCATGAGAGTTGTAGAAACTTATCCCCAAGCCCAAACATGGGGCAACATTCACATGATAGGACACAGCCTAGGTGCACATGTATCTGGAATGACTGGCAGGCAACTGATATCATTGAAGAGCAAATGGAGGGTGGCAAGGATAACTGGTTTGGATCCAGCAGAACCGTGTTTTGCAAGCACGGGTCTGGCATTGAACAAAAATGATGCGCCATTTGTTGATGTCGTTCATTCTAATGGAGGCACACTGGGTCTCATGAATGCAATAGGTAATATAGTAATGAAGTTAGCCAATCCTACTCTCAGCCAACTTAATTTTGGTGAATCACCTTTTATAGATTCACCCAGATTAAGTTGTCAAAGATGCGTCGGACGATGTATCTTTGTGTTCCCATAGGACTCATCTGCAAACTTATTCGAGGATAGACCAAATTTACAGAATTAATTGATCACTTTAATTGGCCGTTTCATTTGTCCTTTCGCTAGGTCATATGGATTTCTACCCAAACGGAGGACAACGACAACCAGGATGTTTCTACAGTGGGATTTTCCCTGGTAATATTTCTATCAATGTATTTATTCTGAAAATTATCATCTCTTAAATGATTGAATGGAATATGAAAAAATGTCAAGATACCGTATAATTAATGATTAATGTTGAGGCCGGGGCACAGTAGAGCACCCCTAAAATCATCGAACATTGCGCAAATTTTTATTTTAGATTCATTTTAGAATATAGTAGAGTGAGCTGATTTGAGATTTCCAAGATATTTCGGCGACGGATATTTTGCAGTTGGAAGAGCGATGGAGGGGGGTCAATTTTTAAGAAATGGGTTGCCCAACGGCGGCCTTGAAATGAAAAATACTGTAATAATCATTCATAATTAATTTCTCGATTTCTGGTCAAGAGCGGAATATTCAAAATCATTCATTTTGCCCCGCATTTTCTTTGGGCCGATTCCACCCTAGCTACGGTAATTACATTCTAATTCCGAGAGTAGAAAATAAAAAATTGAAATTTCAACGATTACAATGGCTCCATTTGAAAGGAAAAAAATCGAGAAAATATTGAACGGTTAATGAAGGATGTGCTGAGCAGGCTTTCCCTATCTCAAGTAACCCCTGTATTCCCTATTTTTTTTATCCAACTTAACATTATCGAGACATAATTTTGTAACTAAACTTGTCCACACATGTATACCCTTTCGGGCTTTTACATTTCCCATCCCCAGTTCTCCCTGTACCGCAATTACGCCGAGGGCCGAAGGGAAAACCTCATGGGAAAAAACCTTGGCCAGGTACAGTCGTCTCTTTCGAGACTACCGCTCGTACGATGAAACCTGTGCAAGTTAGAGCGAATTCTATCTCTAAAAAAAATCCCTTGCATTTCCCCGACTGGGAATCGAACCCACGAATCTCATGTGCCAACCCCCTACGTTCTAACCGCACGGCCACCGCACGTCGGTGACGTAACTTTGTATTTAATGAAACTAGAATGACAAATTCTTTCTGTTTGCCTTTAGCAATCTGCAATCATATCCGCGCATTTCAATACTTCATCGAGTCGTTGCAACTGGTAGCTCAGAAATCAAAAAAAAAATTCTGGGGTCACAAGTGGAACTTCTCCCGAAATCAAGCTATCTCATTACTTGGCCGGGCATGTAATAGTAATGAGTGTGTGGAAATGGGTATTAATGCGGATAAATATGAGAGAAAAGGGATATTCTTCGTCACCACCGCAAGTGCTGCACCTTACGTGGGTAAGAATTCATTCTGAAGCCTAAAAACGTTTTAGAGTAAAATATTATTTTCTATTTTTTATAGATCCTGGACTACTAGATCTCGTGGCCATTAAATTAATCATGTGAATCTTCTTTTGGATGGGTGGGATAGAAATGAAGTGTATCCTCTTTCCACGAATATACTCATGTTTTCAATTTAATTAAATTACATTCTGGTGAAACTAATCCATTATTTTCAATTATTCAACTTAAACTCTATTCCAATCGTATAAATATTATAAATAAACTCCACTAGTCGTAAATTTTTTCATCAACTCTTTCATTTACTTATGAATGCTTTAAATCATATAGATGTGAAATGAGAATCATTGCATGAACTTCTCATCCCTGTCTTATCTGATATCCCAAAATAAGACTGTGTAAATATTGGTAATAATTTAGTGACATTATTGATTGGGAAACATAGGATAATGATTTAATAATTCATCTATTCACTTGATCGATTTTCTTCACGAACTGAAAATTGCACAATAATTCTATAATCTGTCATGAGTAAATAAAAAAATTGTATTAAACGAATTTCTGGAGTGAAAATATTATGAATTCTGAGTTAAAGTCAGATGTAGGTGTTCTAAAAAAAAACAATTAATTTCAGGATATATTTAAACAAAGTGGTTATTCAGTTTAGTAATTTCTTTTGAACCTTTTGATACTTTTTGGACATAAGAGATCTCTCAGATTTTTTCAGTCCCTCCTGGTCAAGATTTTTGATTTCAGGATTTTTCTGCAATTCACTGATTATCATATCATATATACCATGACTATTTGTCAATTTGTTGAATGAATAATGTCAAAACAACATCTACCGTTTTATAAGTTCTCAAACTCTGGAAGCATCTCTTGAGTTTTCTTTAAAGAATTATTTATCGTCAAGGTGATTGCGTATTTTGGCAAGTAGAGATAACTAGAGTATTCCACTGCTATTGACATTTGACTAATTTTAATCATTCGTGGTGGATGTATTCGGCCGGATTCGCGATAAGACCTCCTTGAACTGGCGACGTGCCTCTGGATCATCGGTATATTTTTCGTAATTGTAACGAAGTTCCTTATAATACTGATAACGTAAAGCGTTTGCTGTCCTGTTTATGCAATAAGTTGACTAAAATTGAAAAAAAAAAACAAAATTGTATGATGAAGCTAGTTTTCCTATTCTAAAAGGGACACCCCTGACACAATCGATTATCTCGAAAATCTCGAAATCATGAAGCCACGATTCCTTATTGGTCCGCCTAGAGTGGCGCGAGATTACAAAGTCGTAACTCTCTTACAGAAATCGTTTCATACACTGAGAAAAACAATTATTTTTGCCAAGAATATTCTCTTCCGACCAGTCAATCTGGCGATCACTGTGTAAATACTTCTATAAGACTTACTAATGCCAAATATATTTTTTTTGTGGTGAGTAAGTTTTCTATTTGCAAAATACTCGATTATATTACACGTACCTGAAGTTCTGCTAAATGATCTTTCCAAAATGTATAAAGTCTTGCTTCATAAGCAGCATTTTTTTCAATAATAAACTGTATCAACATCTTATTTTCTTCATCTGTCCAGTAGTTTTTACTGCCGAAAAAATAATAAAAAATGATGGAGTTTGAGAAACATTTCAGTACAGCAATGCCAAAATATGAAATAATAATTCAGAAAAAAAATTATTACGCGTCAATCGAAAAATTTGTAACAAAGATAATTTTTAATTTATATATTTTATAAGAACTTTATTCTAAATGACAGACTCTTGGTTTTCCACTTACTTCAAATTTTCATCTTCTCAGTTCATCCACCGAAAAAAATTTCGAAACAGAAAATTCAAAAAAAAAATGACGAAAAATGAAAAAAATTGGATATACTTATCTTGCCATTGATTTACTGATTTCAATTCGTTACCTCGAAATAGTTCGACGAGTTTCTAATTGCTTGAACTTCATTAGTGCGGCAGGATCATTGGTAAATCTTGGGTAAGTCTTCTGAAGCTTATATCTGAATCGAGTTAATAGCGCAGTTGCTGTTCTGCTTGGATGGAGCAATGGCTGAAAGACAAACGCAAATAAATCGATACGATAACTAATGACTTGGGGGGTCGATCAAAATGGGACAGCTAGGCGAAACGGGACGCGGGGGCAAAATAGGACACCTGCGGAAAATTTTCAGTCATTCCCAGTAATTTTTTATTTTCCACCAAAAAATGTTGGAAACAGTGCAATAATGTTCTCGTGTTTTTTCCGAATTTTATTTTTTCCTCTAATTATATTAATTTGAATCGCCGATTTGTGGTTTCTCAGCATGAAATTCATTAAATTGGAATTGAACATTTTCTTTATAAATTAAGTGTAATAAAATTCTGGATAAACTGAAATGTTGAATAATTGATTCTTACACGGAGAGAAAAATACCGGAAAAATTACGGAACTTCCGCGTATTCATGGGGTGACCTTGCTTTTTGGGAAAAAGTACTGGAGGTACCGTAAAATTGTCCTGAAAGTTTCGTAAAAATTCCTGCTCGCTACGAAAATTTTTACGGAACTTACAGTATTTTTTCCCGAAAACCAAGGTCACCCCACGAATACGAGAAAGTTCCGTAATTTTTCCGGTATTTTTCTTTCCGTGTATGATCGATTTTTTCGCCTCATCTCTCATTGAACCCCCTGATTAGTCCCATTTTGCCTGAATGTTCCATTTTGCCCGGGTCTCCTCTACCGATGTAAGCAATCCATAATTTAAAGTGAATAAATTAAAATCATTAACTGAATGATTTGATACTTCAAGTCCAAAAAATACGAATCAGTCATATTCGTTAATTATTAACTAGTTCGATCACTATTATTTATAACATCATTGAAGCGAGTTAATGGATCACATTCTTAATCGTTTTTATTATTCAGAATAATTAGTCAATAATTTGAGACCCGACTCATCGACTAGCGAGGAGCTCTTAAAAGTTCATGAGAAAATTAATGGAATAATCCAATTCAATTTGGTTTTTATTTAATTTGAGAATACCTTGCAAGCTTCAAGACATCTAACCCAGACTTTGGTAGTGTTTGCTTGGGAAATGGCATCTTTATCAATAAGATATTGGATGAGAGTTTGATCCTCAGCATCGGTCCAGGCGATTCTAAGAAAAAAATCAAGAAGACAGATGTCATCGAAAAAAGTTATTCTTTTATTTAAATGACGGTAATTAAGCGGGGAATAAATGGAAAACCTCGGAATTGTGTTTCTTACGTGTTTGAACAAATTGAATAACAAGTGGTTTATTTTAAATAATTACTGCCGATATCTTCTCATTTTTTATGTTTTTTGTGAATTTTGAAAAATGTTAATAGCAATAAAATAGAAAAACAGTAGATTTTTGCACGTCAAAAAAAACATGAAAAATGAGAAGACATGAGTAATAACTCTTTAAAAATAATGTACACTCTATTGTTTCTCTCATTTGGGTATTCTAAGAAAATTCCACACAGCGAATGGACGAAATTGAAATTACAAAAATCATTTCTTCACTAATCACTTCTTTTTGGCGCGATTTTTTTGTAGACATTGCAGGAGAGAAATATATGGAAATCTTCGCGTCGATAATTCATGATGTTTAAAACTCACAGTAACTCCCCTTAAAAAAAAATACCGACTACTCACCCTTTCTGTTTGTTGTAGTTGCTGTGCCATTTCTCTTCAATTGCTTCGAACTTCCTCAATACTTCGGGGTCATCGATATATTTTGCGTAGTCGTGAGCAAGATGATGTCGGTAACGACAACGAAGGCTCTCTGCTGTTCTAGGAGGATTCAATGGCTAAAAATGGAAACATTACAAAACAACCATATTAATCATCTATTTTTCCCTAATTATTATTTTCAATCCAATTCCCGCCAATATAGCGCAGTATTCGAAAAAAAATTTCAGAAAGGAAAAAATGGAAAAATTAATTTTCTGTCTGGAACTACTCAAATCAAAAATAAATATCATAAATTAACATTTCTTTAATTAATTATCATCAGAAAATCGG